AGTGGAATTGCTGCAAAAAATGGATAAAGGCATATCCTTTGTTTTTCTAACCATTCCAAAATCTGTTTACCAATTTCACGCTGCTCTGCAGAGGGGGGGGGGGACGCCGTGGCATGCAATGAATTGGAAGTTGGTCTGTCAGCACTATCCTTATCTTCAGGGCAGATGTTTTTATTTTATTTATAATTCCTTACTAAATGTGGTATTTCATCTCGATGTACTCTGTCTTTGATATGATTTAAATCATATTCCTCATCATTATAATTCGCTTCGATAGTGAAGAAAGTGACACAGAGGTTATTGAAAACGAAAAAAAAAATTTTTATGAAAATTAGTCGGTATTCTCGACACAGCAATTAGGACTTGAACAGCGGAACTTTGTAACTGAACAAGAAATTATGTTGTATAGAATTAAAGAGATGTATTATCACATAAAAAACAAGCAACTTAAACAAATTACATTGAAAGAAATCTATAATAATAAAAGCAAGTGTAATGTGTCTGTCTGTCTGGCTGACCGAGCTCTCCAGCCAAAGCTATCGCACGCAGGGACCTGGAATTTTTTATACGGAGCACAAAGGGGCTGGCCCCAGACCTCGAAGCCCGATTTCGATTTTTGAATTAGAAAAATTAAAAAAAAATTATTATAATTAATTAATCACGGGTTTTTTGACTCACTGATATTATTATTTGTTTTCAAATAACGTTCGATTGTAACAATTGATTTCTTTATTCTAGCGTTAGTTTGCTGTTTGGACGATACATTAAATCGATTAATTACAATTCATTTTTTTTTGTAGCTTTAGTTGCTGTTTCATGACACATTAATTTCTTTTTTTTTTTTCAGAATTGCACTTTATAAACTTTTTGTTTCTTAATTAATATTATCATGGTTTTTTGACTCACTGATCGTGTTGCTATTATTTATTTTCAAATAACGTTCGATTATAACAATTGATTTCTTTATTGTAGCGTTTTCTTCAGTTTTTGTAATCATTCTTCTGTTGGTTGCTTAACTTTTGCTTTTCAGATTTTAGAAGAAATATGCCGCAGCCACCTCGAAAAAAGAAATGTTTGGAAAATAAAAATCGACAAGAGAGCGATACCCTCGCCAGTTGTTCTTGAAAGAGACGCAGACGGGACAAGACGGATATCCACTGTATCGTCGTAGAAGCCCTGCAGATGGAGGTTTTTACAGCAAGCATCAATCTACGAGGATCAGAAGTTTCGGTGGACAATGCCTGGATTGTTCCTTACTGTCCACTACTATCCAAAATTTTTTAACGCACCTATCAACGTTGAGTACTGCAATTCTGTCAAGTCCATAAAGATGTATGCAAGGTATGTCAATAAAGGATCCGACATGGCTGTATTTGATGTCACCAGTGGAGCCAATGAACTGAATGAAATTCATCAATGAGATGGGAAGATACATTAGCAGCAATGAAGCAGTGTGGAGAATACTCAACTTTCCAATCCACGAACGTTCATCCCACAGTCGTTCATCTAAGCGTCCACCTTGAAAATGGCCAGAGAGTGTACTTCACTGAAGAAAATGCTGCTGAACGGGTCCAGGCACCCCAGGAAACAACGCTCACATCTTTCTTCAAGCTGTGCACCCAAGATAACTTTGCTCGCAATTTACTTTACAACCAAATTCCAAAGTACTACACATGGAACAGCAGGAACAAGAGTTGGAACCGCCGTAAACAAGGACAAATTGTCCAGAAGAAACAGGAATCCGTCTACTGATGCTCTTGGCGTGTCTACAACCGTCCATCCCAACAACTCCGAATGCTTCACCTTCGCCTATACTACATGAAGTTAGAGGCCCAACATCATTCACGGATTTGAGAACCGTTCAAGGAAGAGTCTGCAACACTTTCAAAGAGGCCTGCCAACTTCAAGGACTTCTGGAGAATGACGAACACTGGAACACGGCGTTAGAAGAAGCAGCTGCATCTCGATCACCCAAGATGATGTGTAATCTGTTTGCTGTAATGCTTCAAACGGCTCCATGTCGGGCCCTGAACAGTTATGGATGAACCACAGGGAGAACCTGTCTGAAGACATACTGCATCAAGCAAGGATCCAGCAGCAGAATATGGACCTGGACTACAATGACGAATCTTTAACAGAGCCCTAATCTACATTGAGAACAAGATAATATCTCTAGGAGGATTGAACCTGAAAAGCTTTGGACTTCCCAACCTAACAGAAACAGCGATTCTGCCATTTCCAGTGAAGTAATTAGAGAACGAAGTTATAACATGGATGTGCTCAGCTTATATACAGGAGAATGAGCCTAAATTGGTCCAAGATCAAAAAGAAGCCTTGACAAGATTACTAGAGCAGTTTTTGATAGGCAAAGGGGTATATTCTTTTTGGATGCTCCAGGCGGAACCGGGAAGACGTTTCTGACGTTTCTTATCAACCTTATTTTGGCAAAGGTGCGGCACAGAAATGAGATTGCCCTGGCTGTCGCTTCATCCGGCATTGCTGCTACACTCTTGACAGGTGGTAGGACTGCTCACTCGGCGTTCAAGTTACCCTTAAATCTGACAAGCACAGAGACTCCAACGTGTAACATCCCAAGGAATTCAGGAAAGGCAAAGGTTCTACAGGATTGCAAGCTCATCGTTTGGGACGAGTGTACCATGGTCCCACAAAAGCCGCATTCGAAGCATTAGATGTCACCATGAAAGACCTCAGACGGAACAATGACAGAATGGGAGGCGTCGTAATGGTTTTGGCAGGCGATTTTCGACAGACGCTACCAGTTATTCCGCGTGGAACGAGGGCAGATGAAATGCAGGCCTGCATAAAATCTTCTTACATCTGGAATGGCATTCAAAAAACACTTGGATTATCGACTAACATGCGAGTTCATCTCAACGGTGATCCCTCTGCCCAGCAGTTTGCAGATAATCTACTGAAACTAGGAAAGGAGCCCTTACTTCAGAAAATGAAGATGGATATGTAGCGATGCAAGGCATTGGAAGGATTGTGACTACTGAAGAAGAACTGAAAGAGGCTGTGTTTTCCGAATGTGATTCACCACTTCACTGATCACGCATGGCTGTGCGAAAGAGCAATTCTTGCCCCAACAAACGAAGCCGTCAGTGTTATCAACAAGGAACTTTTACAGAACTTACCCGGAACTCTTCATATTTACAAATCTATAGACACGACATGCAATATTGACGAGGCTGTCAACTATACGACAGAGTTTCTCAACAAATTAGAGCCACCTGGAGTACCCTCCCACATATTGGACTTGAAGGTTGGAGCACCGATAATTCTCCTCAGGAATCTGGATCCGCCTGCACTTTGCAATGGAACAAGACTTTCTATCAAGAAAACTGATGCCAAATATTATAGAAGCCACCATCATGACCGGACATGCTGCAGGCGAAGATGTGTTTATTTCAAGAATTCCTATAATCCCTTCCGATCTCCAGTTTCAGTTTAAGCGTCTACAATTCCCTGTTTCGTTTGAGTTTCGCGATGAGCATTAATAAGGCACAAGGACAATCTCTCAAAGTTGTAGGGCTCGACCTCCGTAAGCCGTGTTTCTCCCATGGTCAACTGTACGTGGGTTGTTCAAGAGTTGGTAATGCCGATAATCTACACATCTTAGCTCCGAATGGAAGAACATTAAATATAGTTTATCCCGAGGCTCTCTAACGAAAAAGGACAATCTAACGAAAATTATTGCCACTCTCCCACTCTCCCAAACTAACTCTGACTATCATGCTTTAAATAGTGATGTTATTGTTTAGTGCTCTCTTGAGGAGCATGAGCAATAATCCGAATGGTGCTGCCGTACCAACAGACATTAATCGGTCAGGGGCCTTGCGACCCCAGCCCGAGCTCCACAAACATACACAAACACTCTCCTCTTCTAATTCATTGTCATCTAAATTTAACTTACACTTAAATTAAAAATTTAATTGGTTCTTAACTCCAAATTTCCTGTAAGCAGGATGTTTTATTTCATCCATGTTTTCGTTACTTTTTATTTTTTCTGTACTGTACTCTCTATCTTTCCCTTTCAACTCTTTCCTATCTTTGATTTTGAATTTTTTATGTTTACTTTTCTTTATACTTCAGACCAATGATTATAACCACATGACTATGGTTTCCTAGCATGTGCTAATATGAGGTCTGTTCTCATTTAAACTAATTTTTTAACAGATGGCTCATGGTTAGGATATATTGTTCCTTTTTATCGACGGGGAATGTTGTGTGGGGGGGGGGGGAGAGAGAGAGACAGTCTACATGTCCTACACTACTATTCCTGCGCTATTCACTTATCTGCATTTTCTAAATGCACGGGCAACGCCGGGCGGGTACAGCTAGTGTTTAATAAAGTAAACAAATAAATATTAAGCTTTTTTTTTTTGTAAATTTTGATACCCTTTAGATCATAATTGTTCTTTATTTCATAAATTATGGTTTCATATTTTTAATTTTGTAATTTCTGCATGCCATCTTACCAGATTTAAACTGATGATCTATAATCCGGAATCGCCGAAGTCCCGATAAGTCCAGATTAACGACTTTTGACTGTATATCTTTTCGTAAAATTGCTACCACATAAATTTCAGAAGACAGGCATTGTACATGTAGGCAACCGGTACAAAGCTGATGTTTATTTCACTATTCTACATATGATATCCCAGCTCAGGATCAATAATGTTATATTTGTAATTAACTTGCAAGTGTTATTATCCAACAGCAGTCAATTCATCTGCTTCAGCATCTGAAAAGTTTATAATTCTTGCTTGTCCCATAAACAGGAAAAACACCCAAATATGTTCGCTTTGCTTTCATCACAAGGTATTGTAACATCTATATCACTTTCATTTTTCTTGGAAATGTTTACAGATCTTTAATTGAATCTGAATACCAAATAATTCATAAACAATCACATTAAAATACCATCAATAATTATACACTTTTCATATAAAGTCACATGTTAATGAAATGTAACTTACATCATGCGACCTTCCCAACTAAGAAAAGGTGGATCAGTTTCTGAGTTTAGTACATCACCAAATATTCCTAAACAGCTATCTTTTGGGGATAATGTGGCTGACTGAATAAAATCATTCGATGAATTAAACTGACTTTTGCACTCTTTCCCAAGTTTACTTACAGATCCTACACCGCCAGAATTTAACTTTGAGGTGACCTAAAATTAGCAACATAAATCTATTTATAATTTATGAAAATTTTCACATAAGCAAATATTACACAAGGAAAAATAAATTAATGTTTTTAATATAACAAACTGCTAAAAACAATCATCACAAAAGAATAACAATAAGAGAAGATAAATAAAAACACAACTGCTTAAATTTAGTAAGAAAAATAATACTTCAGCATGTGTGATTTTATTTACATATAGTGCAATTTTAATAATTCAATGAAGTAAAACTCAGACAATATATTTATACTAAAATGACAGCTATTTCTACTTTATGATAAATTAGAAAAAAAATTATTTCTTCAATAAACAAAAAAGAAAAAAGATTAAAAACACATCAATAAACGGGAAAAAAAATCAACAGATTAAAATTTATGCAGAAAATCTGACAGCATTTCATAGATGATGTATCATAATTAAAATAAAATGGTTATTTACATTAAAAGGTATTTTTCTATTAAAGCCATACCATGCAATTTCAGTGCCATATTAGCCCATTTAGGCATAATTTTTTCACTGTGCATTTGGCTCGGAATTGCGCATTTTATCACCAAACAAAGATCAGATATATTTATTGCTTCATAAATGATAAAACACATAAAACTAATAAAAAACAACAAAAATCAATAAACACAGCATTAAACAAAGAATCATATGACTAAACAGCAAGCATATAATAAAAATGGCATTTAGAACAGAACTTTGTTATAGAATCTATATATTACCACATAAATTAAATTATAATTCAATTAAATAAGCTTTTTAAATAAATTTGGCAGTGATTCTTTGGCATTTACTGACCTATTTTGTCCTACTCTAATACGTACACAACATATTCAGGTATAACAGCATCCAGATCAATAAAATGATATGACTGATTTACTGAGAAATATTCAAAATCTTAAATAGTAAAATCTGTTGCAGTGGAAAAATGAAATCCCATTTAGATGAAAAATCTGGTTGCATGAGTGTTGGTAAAAAGAAAAATAATGATCACCATGAAAGACACCAAACTGCTGATGCTTGGTCCCAAGGAAACATACCGACACACACACGCACACACACAAAAAAAAAAAAAAAAGGCACCAAGTAGGTATGGCTTTAAGAGAAAAGATTTCAATTAAAAAAACTTGATTTCTTTTTATGATTATAACAATTTTTAATACAGATGACTCTCATGTAATGTTCTAGAAAAGCGGTTCTCAATCTTTTGACTAGCTCATACCATCTAAACAAAAACTGGCTTTAGGGCCACCACTACATTTTACAATGATTATTTTTCAGTTTCATAATAGAAATACTATAAAAAATATACTTTGCACAGCCTATTGGCTATTTGTATTAAATATGCACATATAAAAAATATTAGATTAAAAATTGATTACCATTTTTAATCATTAAAACTTAAGTTATAACACTTTAATTCTAAAATGTAATGTGAAATTTGGGCCTGTTTAACAGAGATCTGTTTCATTATGTCTGATCTTATTTCACTTAGTTTTAACAATAAATTAGGATCCACTTATTTTTGTTCCGTATTTATTTTTCAAATATAACATGGAAGAAAATCCTCGTTCACATAAATAGGTTGAGCAAAAAGGCAATAAAAATTTAATAGCTTAAATTAAATTTGAAGTGCTTTTAATTCCCCCCCCCCCGGTTTAGCCAACAGTTAACAAGTGTGTTATTTTTGAAATTTTCAATTACAGTTCAATCACAGGAATTTTCTATCGAATGTTCTTTTTCTTCTCAAGGTAAAATTTCAGATACATTTGAACAAAATGGATTTCTAACCCAATGTTCTTTTTCACAATCTCCCTGAAAATACATGCTGAAATAATTTATCAATGAAAAACCACGATTTTTAAAGTCAGATGCTAATTCTTCTTTTATTTTCAAATTATTTTCAGTTAGAAAACTTTCTAAAAGTGGTAAAAAACTTAAAATATTATTATGCAATTTTTTTATTATTAGCTGGATTTTTTTTTTTTTTTTTAATTTTTATCATTGCATTTATTTTATCTCTAATGGTAAACAAATTAACACTTTGTCCCTGTAATCTTAAATTTAATTAATTTAACTTTCCAAAAACATCAGCTACATATACTAAATGCACTAACCATAATTCACTAAATAAACATTTTTGCAATTCAAATTTTGAATCACAGAGGAAAATTTGAGTTTCTGATAGAAATTCAAAAAGATGATTTAAAACTTTGCCTCTGGATAACAACCTTACTTCAGAATGTAGCAAAAGCATTTTATGTTCACTGCCCATCTCTTGGTATAAAATCTTAAATATTCTTGAATTTAAGATTTTTGCATAATTTTAGGCTTTTAATAAAGTTAACAATTTTCACAGCTTGATTCAAAATGATTTTCAGGTTTTCAGGGATTGCTTTTGACTACTAAAGCTTCACAATGCAGTGAGAAAATTTAGTTTCAGGTGTGAATTCTTTTTATTTGATAAATAACACTGAAATGTTTTCTTGTTAAAGCTTGAGCTCCATCACTACATCTAATAATTTTGTGCATCTCCAAATCAGATGATGGTGGTTCAGTGGGTTTACTAATTTTAACACTTTTACATTTTAAACAATATTTTAATTACTATATACAGAGTGTATTCTTAGGCCGCCGCCTTCAACATGAACAAACTTTATTCTCTCAACTAAGCGAGCAACAGCGCCCTCTAGCCTTTTTCTTCAAATTACACAACACTCCCCACCTGAACTCGGTGGAGAGTTCATCTTTCAATAATATATTCTAGAATATTCAATTAATATTTCGACAATAAATCCTGGAGAAATGGTTAAATATAACAAACATGCATACATAATTATAAGCACATAAAATTTTACAAAACATTAAATGATACCTATCAGCAAGGTCAGGAGAATCAAACCTAAAAATACAAAATACAAACATTAGTTAAGTTCCATATTATATAACAATTGTATAGGCCTTTTTAAGGTACCAGTAGGTGTTTTTAATTATGCAAGATCTTATTTTACCATCTCTGCCTGGCATTAATTCCAAAATTTTACCTATTGTCCAAAGATTTCTGGGATGTTTGTCGTCATGAATCAAGACAATATCGTTGATTTTAAACTGAGATGCGTTAGAGTGTGGAGGACAAATATTGGCAGATCTCAGATTAAAAAGATACTCTGATCTCCAACGCTTCCAAAAATGATTTAAAATATCTTGATGGTATTTATATCGTTTAATAATTGAATTTCTTGACCCAATCAAATTATTTGATGTTATTTTATTAGCAGGCAGAGATAGCAATCGTCTACCAACCAGAAAATGAGAGGGTGTTAGTGGAGAAGGTTCATTGGGATCGGTAAACACGTAGGTAATTGGTCTACAATTAATCATTGCCTCGATTTCAATGAGCACTGTTTCAAGCTCTTTCACAGTAAGGGATGATCGACCAATAATTTTTCGCAAGCTGGATTTTATGGTTCGTACCATACGCTCCCAAAACCCTCCCCACCATGGACCCCTCTCAATAATAAATTTCCAATTTATGCCTCTAGCAGAAAATAATTCTTTCACAGATGAGTCACTCAAAGTTTTAAAAATATGTTTTAGTTCTTTATCAGCTCTTTTAAAAAGTCTTGGCATTATCGGAGTACACGGTGGTACACAGTCCTCGGCGAGCTAAAAATCTTCGGAAAGCTAGCAAAAAACTTTCAGTGCTGAGATCAGTTACTATCTCTATATGTAAGGCACGAGTGACCGCACACGTTAACAACAGCATGTAAACTTTACCTTGCCTGTCTTTCGTAAAAAATGGACCGGCGAAGTCCAACCCGGTCACAGCAAATGGAGGCGACTCTTGGATTCTGTCTGGAGGAAGTGGAGCGATATCCTGTACCCCAGGACGAGCACTATATCGTTTGCATATCACACATTTGCTGATGATAGTCTTAACACGCTGTCTTCCCTTAATGATCCAATATTTGTCTCTGATCTGAGTTAGTGTCGAATTAACTCCAGCATGGAATACCCTTTCATGCGAGTCCATGATGATCAACTCGGTAAACTTGCATTTTGAGGGTAATAGAATAGGATGTTTTAAATTCTCGTGACAGTCTGCAAATTGAATGCGACCTTTCAACCGAAGAATTCCCTCCTCATCAAGCCTTGGATTAAGGGAGTAGATGGAAGAATCGAGAATTGATTTTTTATTTGATAACTTAATTATTTCCGCTTGATACGATTCTCGTTGCGTAATTTTTACCCAATAATGTTCAGCTGCTTTAATCTCAAAAGCACTTAAAGGTCCATTCTCTGTAGACCTTTTCCGAAGCCTCCCAATAAATCTAAATACATAGGCAGTAATTCGAAGTAATTTTCCTAAAGAACTGAATTTTTCTATATGCAAAATTGGGGATTCATTGTTAATTACAGGTGCAGTCAAAATAATACTTTTTCTTAACTCCAACGATTCTGAATTTGGTTTTAATTTCTTTTGTTTTGGAAAGTTTTCAATAGGAAAACGTAACCAGTGTGGCCCATGCCACCACAGATCATTCTTAACTAGTGACTGAGCACTAATTCCTCGAGTTAGTAAATCGGAAGGATTTTGTTTCCTTCGCAGTGGTTCCACAATTTTTTGTTGCATATACTCTGTATTTCTGTAACACGATTGGCGATAAATGGTTTCCAATTATTTGGCGAACCTTTAATCCAAGTAATGGCGATTTCGGAATCACTCCAAAAATAAACATCCTCAATTAAATCACCAAACAATTTTTTCAAATATTTATACATTCGAGCAGCCACGAGTGCTCCCATTAACTCTAAACGAGGAAGCGTGATTGCTCTTAAAGGTGCAACTCTGCATTTCGACATGATAAAGGAAGTTTTAATTTTAGAATCACTCGTACAATATCTGAAATATGCGATGGCCCCATATGCTTTAGGACTAGCGTCCGAAAATAGGTGAAGGCTTATATTCATTGGATCGTCAT